TGATTTTCACGCGCGTATTGTTTTAACTGATTGTCTGATAAATCAGATGATTTTGAGACCAACTCGTAATCATATTTATTTCATATATTTATTAATATCGTGTGTGTGTAGTGTATATATATATTTGTCGGACTAACTTACAGAAAATAAACTTTTTTTTATTTATTAAAATGGATTTATTAATAATTATTGCTTAATCTAAGCAAAAAATGATTTCAATTATTTATGTATATTAATCTAATTTTTTATTTATATTTTTTAGTATTTGTTATTAATTTTAAATTATTTATGAATATTAAAGTTTATTGAATTATTAAATAATATTTAGTAATTTTAACAAATTTTTTTTATATATCAAAACATTCATTTGTTTTTTCAAATTGTATATTGAAAATGATGGCAAACATAAAAAATATAAGTTATAATCGCTAATGGATTGCACGACAGTTCACCCGACGATACGCTTTGCCCGATGGCTGTAAACTTGAGGAGATGTGGAGGAATGCTGTCTTAAGCCAAATAGTGTGCTCACTATTGACATATTAAAAATATTTATCATTTTATACTGAATATTAAAAAATTAATAATAACTAAAATCAGTTATTAATATAAATACTGTATTGCTAACAAAAAAGACTAATAATATCTAAAATCAAAATGTTTTATTAACAAAAATTAAATGCTTTATATATACAGTAATCGTTAGACTCGTTGTTTCTTTAGAGTTATGCCGTAATCATTGGGAAATTGTAAACCAAACGCTTGAATAACTCGTTGACGTTCAGCCAAATTGACGCCAACATTAAGCCAACCGTTCACTTGTGTTGTATTGATAAACGGCAAAAAAATTGTCCGCCAATTGTTAGTTAAGGCAAAAGCTGGAAAAGGTTTATCTAATCTCGGTTTCCATCGATTCAATTGGTCGGCAGTTAATTCAATAAGATTTACAGTTGGCTTTTGATTAGAGTAATTGTCAAAATAGGAGATCACCGGTGCATTCAATTGTGTTTTGATCCACGAATTCTGATACCTTACCGTACATTCACCGACCAATTGATACAATGCAGTGGCAGTCGACCAATTGGTTTCGTCTAAACAGATGAATACAATGAAAATGTCTTCAAAGTAATTGTAGTCGTAATGATTGTACGATAGAGAGAACAATAAGTGACCGACAATTTGGTTTTTGGACTTGTATTCATAGATCAAAGCATCGTTGATATCGGCCAATACCATCACCGGTTGATATGAATGAACTGGATTTGGTTGGCCTAACAAATCATTGGACAGTTCTATTGAATCCAATTCGAGTACTTTTGACTCACAATCCGATACAGTATACCAACCAATTATATATGATTTTAATTGACCGCAATCTAGTGGCTGACAATCATTACGAATGATATTTATATATTGTACGCCTTCTGGTATAATATGAATAGTCTTTCGGTAGGCTATGTTTACGACACCATTAGTTAATAAAATTTTATAGCCGTTTAGATTTACGAGATCTAAATATCCGTCGCACAAGAAATATGTGTTTTCTTTAAGTAAAGAATTTGTAAAATTGTTTGAACTCCAGATTTCGCTGATACAGAGGTAACCATCGTTGCCGACGAGAAACATATATCTATTAGTCAATCGGTGATTCCAATCGGGCATTCGATCAAATTCGATGGTTAACTTTTGATCGATTGGCTGATTGAGTGCCGCGAGTAGACCGATAACTGACTGGTCGTAGCTGTTCAACAAGTAAGTGATTGAACGAGCACCCGATCTTTTTTTTACTACCGATTTAACAAAACAAATCAAAGCTGCCGCATGTGTCGTACAGTTGACTTTTGGTATGTCTGTACGACTGTTAAAAACAATGACAGTCCGATTTTCAATCTTAATACGTTTTGATATCATGAGTCCAAGATATATGCCTCTAGAGTAGCCTTCGGGAAATTCAAGTAACGGCTGATGGTTTTGTGTCATCAGTACTGGAAATACTGAATCACGCATCAGATATGTTATTATTTGGGGGGCTTTTGATGCCAGTGTCGAGGAATCAATGATTATAAGTTGTTTATTGTCTTTTTCGTACCAACATATGACAGACCCATGAATGACCTGATCCTTGACTTTCACTTGTCCTGTAATTTCTATCAATTGATCGAAATAATTGATTGGCGGTTGTCTTGTCTGTACTCCTGGTGTTCCAAACACTTCCGCCACAATAATCGGTTCGTTTGTTTGCAGATTTCTTTGTTGAACAATTGACTGAAACTCTTGATCTCTGAGCCCAATCTCTTCCCTTCGTAAACCGATCGAAGTATTCCTGGCTTTCGATATAATAGTTTTGGAATGTTTGACATTTTGATTGATTGGTTGTTTGTCTCACTTCTTGTGGATCAAACAGTTTGTTTTGTTTTTTGAATTTTTTTTATCGTTTATTTAAACGAAATTCTAAAAAATAACGATTTTTACAAAATAATTAAATAGTACTCATTTGATATTAAATAAATCAAATTTATTTATTTATTGAATTTTGCATTTGATTTTCACGCGCTTATTGTCTAAACTGATTGTCTGACTGATGATTGTGTGACCAACTCGTGACCATATTTATTGCATATATTTATTAATATCGTTTAAGTGTATATATAAATCAAAAATGAAAATTTACATTACTTTTCTCAAAAACAATTTCTAAGAAAACAATTAAACAAATCAATGATCTCAATATAATTATTATTAATTATTGTTATCTATTTTTTTGTGAATATTTTGTTTTGTTTTTCATCTATGAAAACAAACAAACAAAATAAACTTTTTAGTTAATAAAATGATTTTATAAATAATTATTTTTGTATTTTAATCCAATTTATTATTTATATTTTTTTAGTATTTGTCATTAATTTTACATTATTTATGAATATTTATAGAATATTTAGTAATTTTAACGAATTGTATTATTAAAATTTTTTTGAATTAGAATTAAAATTTATATGTTATTTTCAAATTGTATATTGAAAATGATGGCAAACATGAAAAATAAGTTATAATCGCGGATCGATTGCCCGACAGTTCACCTAACGGTACGATTTGCCCGATGGCTGTTAAACAGTGGTATTGAACGTGTGGTTCCCATCGCTATCACCGAAGGAGACAAACAAATAGACTAAATAATAATAATATCTAAAATCAAAATGTTTTTATTAACAAAAAAATGATAAACTGTACTAAACATATGATATAAGTATAACTAATCAGTTAATCCGTGGTTACTTCACTGTCCTATGAGTTACGCCGTAATCTTTTAATCCAACGGATCATTTGAAGCGTTTGATTTACAAACTGTATGTAAAGATGAAGACATCTCTTGAACTAATAGTTTGTTGCCATTTGTTTGTCTTTTGTCTTCACATCCATTTGATATGATTGTGTGATATGTTTGATAAGACAAAGTCTCGAAGTATATAGATTTGGACGCAATTTATGGCAATACATAACTAATTGGCGAAAATTGTTTTCAGTCTTACGATTTGGACAAATATTCGTCAAATTGATGTCCGCGAATTGAAACACACGCTCACATCCTTTGGTTACCGATTTAGTGACCAGTTTTACGAAAAACTAATGACTCGACAAATCATACATTTCGACGACTTTGCATTCATTTGCAGTCTTTGACGGATAAGTTTCGCCGATTGGACACAGATTTAAACGAAATGGTTACTCATTCTTATGAAAACTCTTGTGTTTCTCTTGTCTTTTAAATTCAGTTCTTAGTAAATGAAATGCTTTTGTAATATAAAGTCTCGCTTTTCTAACAATTGTTTACACATTTAATTCAAAATTCAAAACTCATTTCAAGTTTAAACAAATCCTTAAAAGTGTCTTAAAATGTCTTTAATATTAATTGTTTTATTAATTTCGATGGGATTTTCATCAGTTGTGGCCAAAAGTCAAACAAATACCAACAGAAACACATTGATTATGATTTTGTCAATTGTTCTGATCGTTGCGTTGACTCTTCTCGTTGTTTTGCTTTTCGTTTATTGTTTTTGTCTGAAGAAAAAACGTATTTATAATTAAAAAAAACTATTTGAAAATATCTATTGATTGTAATTATATTTTTTTAAAGAAAAAGTCGCGAACAAAACACAAACACAAAGTCCTATAAATGGCAAAAGTGAAGAAAATGTAATACAAATGGTTGACATCGAGAAGAAAGTCGACATTCAAACCGACGATCAAAAACCAGAAAATTTTTCAGTCATTCAAAAGCGAATGGAAGACGTGTTTAAAAAAGAAAACAAAACACCTGTCGATAAACCGCCGAATAAAGGCGGACAACGAATTCAGATGAATGTCATCAACTTTAAGAAGATTGTGTCCACAAATCCAAAGAAGAACAATAAAATTGAAAAGAAGAATAAAATTGAAAACAAGAATAAAATTGAAAATAAGAAAGAAGTGAATCCCGTAATGAAAAAACAGACAAAAATAAAGCAGAAAAGTGTTGTCACCACTGAAATCAAAAAACAGAAAAGTATTGTCACCAATGAAATCAAAAAAGTGGATTCAAATGAAAAAGTGAGACAATTGTTAAGTAAATCGACGCCGAAATCAAATGTAAACAATAATAATGACAATAATAATGACAATAATAATGACAATAATAATGACGAAAGAGTTCGACAATTATTGAACTGAAGAGTTTTTTTTAATAAAAATTTCTGAATAAAATTTTTACATAAAATCATTGTTTTTTTTGTCTGACTTTTTGATTTGTGTCTCCAATAAAGACAACTGAAGAGCCAAAGCCAACCTTTAAGTATATAAAATATATTTAATACTCCTATCTTTTTAAACGTATTTATCATATTTATATAAATAAATATATAAAATAATTGATAATAACGAAAAAATAATGATTTATTAATACAAATAGTAAAAAAACAGACAAATAATAGTTTTTAAAAATCAAAATGTTTATACAATCATAATATATGACAAACACTGGCGACAAGTTTTCCGTKAAGTTAGACGTTAGTCATTTCAAACCCGAAGAAATTAAAGTCAAGACTATTGGCAATTGTGTTGAAATTCATGGTAAACACGAAGAAAGAAGTGATAGTCACGGATGGATTGCACGAGAGTTCACCCGACGGTATGTTTTGCCCGATGGATGCAAAGCCGAGGAAGTAATGTCGAGTCTTAAGCCGAATGGTGTGCTGACTATTGAGGCTAAGAAAGAACAGTTGCCACCAATCAGTGGTGTTGAACGTGTGGTTCCCATCGCTATCACCGAAGGAGACAAACAAAAAACTTTTTGGTTATTAAAATGATTTCAATTATTTCAATATTTCTTAACCAATTTCTTAACCAATTTCTTATTATTTTATTTTATATTTGTTTTGTTAGTATTTATTGCATTTGTATTTATGAATAATAAAGTTGTATATTTATAGTTATTTTAACGAATGGTATTATTTAAAAAATATTAATTATTTTATATCGTTTTAAACGTTTAATGTTTATATGTATGTGTTATGTAAATGTAATAAATAAATGTACTAATATACATGTATTAAACTTTTAAAAAACAATATTTTAAATGAGTTATTAAAAATTTTTTAACACTCTTAATCCCGACAAATATTACAAAATTAATAATAATAACTAAAATAATTTTTTAATATAAATACTGTAATTTCTAAAATCAAAATGTTTTATTAATTTAATTAAATGATAAACTAAATGTACTAAACATATGATATAAGTATAACTAATCAGTTAAACCACTGGTTTCTTCTCTGGCATATGAGTTACGCCGTAATCTTCGGGAAATTGGAAACCAAACGTTTGAATAACACGTTGACGTTCAGCCAAATTGACGCCAATATTATGCCAATCATTGACTGCTGTTGTATTGATAATCGGCAAATAAAAATTGCGCCAATTTTCAGTGAAAGCAAAAACCGGTAAACGTTTACCATATGTTTGTCGCCACCGATTCAATTGGTCGGCAGTTAATTCAATAAGATTTACAGTTGACTTTTGTTTAGAGTAATTGTCAAAATAGGAGATCATCGGAGCATTAAATACTGTTTTTATCCACGATTTCTGATACTTTACCGTACATTCACCGACCAATTGATACAATGTAGAGGCGGTCGACCAATTGGTTTCGTCCAAACAGATGAATACAATGAAATTGTCTATAAAGTAATTGTTGTCGTAATGATTGTACGATAGAGAGAACAACAAGTGACCGACCACTTCTTGGTTTTTGGACTTGTGTTCATAGATCAAAGCATCGTTGATATCGGCCAATGCCATCACCGGTTGATATGAATGAACTGGATTTGGTTGACCTAACAAATCAGCGGACAGTTGTATTGAATCCAATTCGAGTACTTTTGGGTCATAATCCGATACAGTATACCAGCCGTATATGTATGACTTTAATTGGCYGGTATTTAGTRGTTGACAATCCTTACGCAAGATATTTAAATATTGTACGCCTTCTGGTATAATATGAATAGTCTTTCGGTAGGGTATGTTTACGACCGTATTAGTCAAYAAAAATTTACCGGCGAATAGATTTACGAGATCTAAACATCCGTCACACAAGAAATAGGTGTTCTCTTTAAGTAAAGAATTAATATAATTCTTTGAACTCCAGTTTTCGCTGATACAGAGGTAGCCATCGTTGCCGACGAGAAACATATATCGATTAGTCAATCGGTGATTCCAATCGGGCATTCGATCAAATTCGATGGTTAACTTTTGATCAATTGGCTGATTGAGTGCCGCGWGTAGACCGATAACTGACTGTTGATAACCATCTAACAGGTAAGTGATTAAACGAGCACCCGACCGTTTTTTAATTACCGATTGAACAAAACAAATCAAAGCTGCCGCATGAGTCGTACAGTTGACTTTTGGTATGTCTGTACGACTGTTAAAAACAAGGACAGTCCGATTTTCAATCTTATTTCGTTTTGATTTTATGAGTGCGATATATATGCCTGTAGTGTAGCCCTCAGGAAATTCAAGAAGCGGCTGATAGTTTGGTGTCATTAGTACTGGAAATACTGAATCACGCATCARATATGTTATTATTTGGGGAGCTTTTGATGCCAGTGTCGAGGAATCAATGATTATAATTTGTTTGTTGTCTTTTTCGTACCAACATATGACAGACCCATGAATRACCTGATCATTGACTTTCACTTGTCCTGTAATTTCTATCAATTTATCGAAATAATTGTTTGGCGGTTGTCTTGTCTGTACTCCTGGTGTCCCAAACACTTCCGCCACAATAATCGGTTCGTTTGTTTGAAAGTTTTTTTGTTGAACAGTTGACTGAAACTCTTGATCTCTGAGTCCAATCACTTCCCTTCCGTAAACCGATCGAAGTATTCCTGGCTTTCGATATAATAGTTTTGGAATGTTTGACATTTTGATTGATTGATTAGTTGTTTATTTGTCTCACTTCTTGTGGATCAAATAGTTCTTGTATTTTGTTTGTTTTGTTTATTGAATTTTATTTTTCGTTTATTTAAACTAAATACTGAAATATAACGATTTAAAAATAATAACTAAATATTACTGTAATAATACTGTAATAAAAAATAATATTTTTTTAGTATTAATTTTTTTTTATTTATTGAATACTTTTTTGATTTSATATTTGATTTTCACGCGCGTATTGTCTAAACTGATTGTCTGATTGTATGACTACATCGGTGATCATATTCTTTGCATATATTATAAAAGTTTTGTTTTGTCACAATATATTAATATCTCATTCATAAATAATATATATATTATTTATTTATTTAAAAATAATTAATAATAGCAARAGAGAGAGAGAGAGAGAGAGAGAGAGAGAGAGAGAGAGAGAGAGAGAGAGAGAGAGATAGCGGGTTAGATAATAAGTAGGTTAAAGTGTGTGTGAGATACAAAAATTAAAAAAAAGTAAAATTAAATAATTGTATGTTTTATTTGTAATTTTGATAAAATAAAAATATATTACTTTTTAAGTCGCATAATAAAATGTGAATGAACTACTAGTATTTATTACTRTAGTTACTATCGTTTAAGTGTTTTATGTACAGATAAGTCAAAAATGAAAATTTGCATCACATTTAAAAAAAAATCAATTGATAGTAACTAAAAAATAATGATTAAAACAAACAAATAATAGTTTTTAAAATCAAAATGTTTATACAATGAAAATATATGACAAACTAAATACTCTCTACATATGAATAATCATCAGTAGATTATTATTTATATTTTTTTAGTATTTGTTATTAATTTTATATTAATTATGAATATTATAATTAGATACTTAAGTTATATTTAATAATGAATTGTATTATTAAAAAATATAAATTATTTAATATTGTAAATATCATGTTTGTGTGTTAAATRTAAAATACTGTATAAGTAGTGATAATTTTATATTTTTAAAAACCTTTAAGTATATTAAATAATTTTAATACTCATATTTTAACTAAATAAATATATAACATAATTGATAATAACTAAAAATAATGATTTATTAATACAAATAGTATAAACAAAACAAACWAATAATAGATTTTTAAAATCAAAATCTTTATACAATGAAAATATATGACAAACTAAATACTCTCTACATATGAATAATCATCATTAGACCCGTTGTTTCTTTTGAGTTATGCATAAACATTGGGTAATTTTAAACCAAATCGTTCAATATTTCGTTGACGTTCAACCAAATTGACGCCAACATTACGCCACCGATAGATTGGTGTTTTATTGATAATCGGCAAAAACATTGTCCGCCAATTGTTAATTAAGGCAAAAGCTGGATGATTTTTGACTACTGTCGGTCTCCACTGATTCAATTGATCGGCAGTTAAATCAATAAGATTTACACATGGCTTTTTATTAGAATCTTTATGAAAATAGTAGATCATTGGTGGACTCAATTGGTTTTTGATCCACGATTGCTGATAATTTACCGAACATTCACCGACCAATTGATACAATGTAGTGGCTGTCGACCAATTTGTTTCGTCTAAACAAATGAAAACCATGAAAATGTCAAAAAATAAATTGTTGTCACAACGATTGGTCGATAGAGAGAACAGTAAGTGACCGACCACTTTGTTTTTGAACTTGTGCTCATAGATCAAAGCATCGTTGATATCGGCCAATACCATCACCGGTTGATATGAATGAACTGGATTTGGTTGGCCTAACAAATCAGTGGACAATTGTATTGAATCCAATTCAAGTACTTTTGGGCAATACTCCGATACAGTATACCAGCCGTATATGTATGACTTTAATTGGCCGGTATTTAATGGTTGACAATCCTTACGCAAGATGTTTATATATTGTACGCCTTCGGGTATAATATGAATAGTTTTCCGATAGGGTGTGTTTCTTATAAATCTAGTCAAATCAAATATACCGCCGAATAGATTTGTCAGCTCTAAACTGCCATCGCAACAGAAATAAGTACTCTCTTTAAGCAAAGAATTGTTAGATTTCTTTGAATCCAAGTATTCACTAATACATAGGTAGCCATCGTTGCCGACGAGAAACATATAGCGATCAGTTAATCGGTAATTATAATCGGGTATTCGATCAAATTGGGTGGTAATCATTTGATCCATCGGCTGATTGAATGCCGCGTGTATACCGATAACTGACTGGTCGTAGCCATCTAACAGGTATTTGATTACWATAGAACATGACCGYTTTTTAATTGTCGATTGAATAAAACACATTAAAATTGCCGAATGTGTCGAACAGTTAGCTTTTTTAATGTCAGTACTTCTTTCAAAAATAAGGACACTTCGAGTGTCAGTCTTAATTCGTTTTGATTCCATGAGTGCGAGATATATGCCTATTGTGTAGCCCTCAGGAAAATTTATTAGCGGGCGATGGTTTGGTGTCATCAGTACTGGAAATACTGAATCTCGCATCTGATATATRTGTTCTACTTGTGGTACGAGTGTCGAGGAATCAATGATTATAAGTTGTTTATTGTCTTTTTCATACAAACATATGACAGACTCATGAATGACCTGATCATTGACTTCCACTTGTTTTGTAATTTGTATCAATTGATCGAAATAATTGATAGGCGTTTGTCTTCTTTCTATTCCTGGTGTCCCAAACACTTCCGCCACAATAATCGGTTCATTTGTTTGCAGATCTTTTTGCTGAACTGTTGACTGAAACTCTTGATCTCTGAGTCCAATCTCTTCCCTTCCGTAAACCGATCGAAGTATTCCTGGCTTTCGATATAATAGTTTTGGATAGTTTGCCATTTTTATTGATTGATTGGTTGTTTATTTGTCTCACTTCTTGTGGATCAAATAGTTAATGTATTTTTGTTTGTTTTGTTTATTGATGTTTTTTGTCGTTTATTTAAACGAAATACTGAAAAAATAACGATTTAAAAAAAAATAAATATTAATGTAATTTGAAATTTGAAAATCAATGAAATTTATTTATTTATTGAAAATTGCATTTGATTTTCACGAGTAATACGTTTAAACTGATTGTATGACTAACTCATAACAAGTGTTATATTATTTGCATTATATTGAACAAACAATTAAACAAATCAATGACTTTATTGTTATTTTGTTTTTGTTTTAAAGTTTATTGATGTTTTTTGTCGTTTATACTGAAAAAATAACGATTAAAAAAAAAATATTAATGTAATTTGAAATTTGAAAATCAATGAAATTTATCAATTTATAACAATCTATTTTTGTGAATATT